TCTTGGATCGGGCCCGCTCCCCGCTTTTCCTGTACCTGGACTGTCCGGGTCAGGAGGGTGAGAGTATTGGGTGGGCGAGGGCAGTACATCTGGCGGGTGGGGATTGAGGGACAGCAAGAGGGCTGATTGTCGAGGCTGATTGGGGGGTCAATGGGCGCGGGCGGCGCTTCGTGGTCCTGGGCGAGCAGGGGCAGTGGTTAGGAGTCTTGGGCCTGGAGATATGAGGATTGTCGAGATGTCATGCGAGAGCGGTAGGTGGGCGAAGGTAGCGCGGCTGGAGAGTGGTGTCCGAGGGACAATGATGAGTTGTCAGTTGGGGCGCGAGACGCGCGGGACAGTGTCGAAGGCGGCCAGTGAGGTAGGGTTGGCTTTGAGCAGTGCAGCGAGTGTGTAGTCAAGCGTGGGAGCGGGGCGCGCGAGCACCGGATTTTTTTGCTGTGCGAGTCGAGTTCGTGGCCGGTGCGCGGGAGATGAGTTGTCAGTTGGGGCGCGAGACGCGCGGGACAGTGTTGGAGGCGGCCAGTGAGGTAGGGTTGGCTTTGAGCAGTGCAGCGAGTGTGTGGTCAAGCGTGGGAGCAGCGCGCGAGCACCGGGTTTTTTTGCTGTGCGAGTCGAGTTTGTGGCCGGTGCGCGGGAACCTGGCTGAAAACCCGCGCATCCGGCCGGTTGTGCGACCGAGGTCGCCGATTGTACGACCGAGGTCGCAGAGCCTTGGCGACGCGACGCGCACGTCGCCAAGGAGTTGGTAAAATGTCCGAGGTTTCACCGGGGACTGAAGGAATTTAGTGAGCCGAACTGTTTTATATAGTGTCCGTCGTCGTGCGCGCGGCGCCCGCAGAAAGCAAGTGAAAGAAAACAAAGACAGGGATGGGAGGAGGACAGGGTCATCCTCCCCACCTCGCTCCTCTCGGTCCTCGCACCTGGACCTCGAGACCTGGACCTGCGAGTGCGACCTGGCACCTCTGCTACTTTATGCTGAGGGAGGGGGTGTAGACTGTAGAGGATATAGAGTGTAGAGCGCTGTAGAGCTGTAGAGATGTAGAGCGCTCTGGAGCGCTGAAGAGCTGTAGAGCTCTACATATCCGCCGCGTGACGATGCGGGTGCGTTGGTAGAGCGATGTAGAGCGCGATTTTGCTGTAGAGTTTGTTGTAGAGGCTCTACAGCCAACCCGCCGGGAATCCAGGGCAGCACTGGCATGCCTCTTCTGGTTCTGGTTTACTCGTCCCCAGTGAGCAGTGTCCCGTCCCCTCTCGGTCTCCGCGCTACACGGTGCACAGCAATGTGAGCGTCTCCTCACTGCACGCACAGGAGCGGACGCGCTCGCCTCCCATACCTATTCTTGTATTAAGACTGGCGAGACATGTTGCGCATTCAGTCCGCGCCTGTAACAAAAGAAAACAGAGACCCACCAAAAAAACGCAAACCGCAAACCGCGAGGGATGGGAGGAGGGGACAGGGTCCCCACCTGCACGAGCAGGATTTTGGAAGGCCGCGCCTGTAGTCTAGCGCTTGGTTAATTCTTTTTTCCGGGTTGAAACCAATGCCCGTGAGTACTTGATCGTCAGAGTCATGCCGCCGCACCTGCGGGGAGGCGCGCACTCGAGCTCGAAGCTGCGGGATGCGCGGCAGCTGGTGTCCGTCTTGGTCCAGCCGCGCATGTCGCACGAAACAGCTAAGGTAGGATCGCGCCCCATCGCGCGGCCCATCTTTGCGCTCGCAGCGGAGAGAGCGTCCTTGCGCGCGGCGGCGTCTGGCGCGCAAAGGCCTGCACGTAAGTCGGGGTTCGAGCGCAGGAAGGAGGGCAAGGTGCCGCGGCACCACGGTCGGGGAGGTGGCGCGATCTCGGCGCCCGCGAAGACTGCGTGGACATGTTCCCTAGTCAGTCTTCGCGCCCTCTCCTCCGAAACCCAAGGATCGACTATCCAACTTATCCATATGTCGGCAACCCTTTTCTCGACACCCCTGCAACTGAAACCCAAACGCGTTCTGCCAACTTTGGCAACTAATTTTGCGAATTTGCTTGAATCCAACCTTTGCAACACTTCATCATTCCTGCTTCCAGCATTCCTCGTGCGCTTTGTTTTGTTTGTTCTTTGTGAATCAATCAATCTTTGTCTTCGGCTCTTTTCTCTCTTCAACTTCAGCGAAGGAGGAGGAGGAGCCATTTTTCCTTTCCTCCGTGGGGCAAGCACAGAAAAAGCTGCAACAGCACCGGTATGGCGAGATACAGCTGGCCGAGCAAGTTCGCGAGCAATACCGGATGCTATCTTGCGGCCCCGGGGGCGCCAAATCTCGGGCGACTGGTGGTGAGAATGGGGTGAGTCTGAGCATCTACGGTGACATGCGTTGCCCCTGGAACGATGCTTTGGTACAAACCTTCTCTGACTCGCTCCTCAAACGTGGGCTTGGCAAAAGCCAGAAGTTCATGGCCGGCATTTCGTTCGCTATGGATACCAAAGGCCAACGCGTGTGCCTTCTCGCCGATTCGGGCGGCGAGACAAAACTACCGCAGCATGACGCTCTCATGCAGGCCGGGAAGGACATCGAGCGCGCGCATGGCGTGAAATGCATGGTCCTGTCAGCCCAAGCTGGACTGTGCATTGATGTGTTCGAAACGTGGGAAAAGGACGGCATCAACCAGTACGATTGCTTTTGCGTCGAAATGAAGCTTGTCGCGTGGTTCCAAAGCCTGCGCAAGATCGATCGTGATTTTCGTGTCCTCTCGACGTTTGCCTGCCCGATCGGGTTCCGGGGGAAGGACATGCCGTACACACCGTCTCCTGCCATCGACGGACCTCTCGGGGTGTTTTCGCGCTGCGCTGTGGCTTGCCCCGGGTGCCAGCT